TATTGCGAGACGATCGTTTAACGTCACTAATGCGACTGCTTCACTCCTAAAATATCTAATCTCCACCGGTCGCTTCTCAATATCACCTATCTGGAAGTACTTAAATAATGAACACGCCATCATAATGTTGATAAGGGGGTTTTGCGAAGACTGGTTTAATATGTGGGTGGTATTCGTCACAGATTGACCTCGGCTCTTGTTAAAGAGTAACCAACTCAGTATTAATTAATTCTCAGACTATATGTCAAATTTGAATATATCAATTTTTCAAAAGAATTTTATTAATCAGTTGACTTTAAAAATGACTTGTAATTTGTGTAAATCCCACAATCTTACTATTTAACACAAATTCTCTTGAAATTTGTTTTAACTTTTTTAGAGCATCGCATCGATCAATACACGTAAAAGCGAATTCTTAAGTAATGAGGAAGATAGAGCACTATTCGCGAAGCAAAGATCTATAGTAAGTAAAAACTTTTTAAAATGTATGCAACATGCGAAAAAAAACCACTTGATAATACATTTCAATAAAAAATAATCCTAGAACTACATAACAACAAACAACTCTCCCCTCATATTTCAGGAGTTAACAGAAGTAATTTTATTCTTGCTAAAACATTTAGATATTGTGAAAACAATGATAATGTTAAGTAATCTAGTAAGAATCTGATTATCATTCCAAAACAATTTTGTACATTCTGTATAACAGTCTAATCTTTCTTTGTCCATATCCTCAATTTGGATTCACTTCGGAATTGGTCTACTACCCAGATAATAGATTTACGAAAAAAGCTTTCAGTCAATGCAATCTATTCAGAACATAAACCAGATAAACAGTTAATGATCGCTTAGTTCGTAATTTACGAACAGAATTTATCAGCATTAAAAATCAAAAAAATTAATTTTTCTGCAGGAATTTCACACAATTCCACCCTTTTATGAACTTGAATAGAATAAAAACAACGATTACTATGGAATGAATTTGAACTCGTTTATTTAGCAAATTCTCTTCAGTTGCTTACAAACTAGAAACAACGGTATTAATGATTTGAAAAGTCGTGGTTTAAAATAGGTATGAAATGTACATGCAGATTAGTAAAAGGTAGAAACTTTGAGAATTAAAAGTCAACAATTTTTTTTTCTAATTTCTATACTATCCTGGAATAATTGTTATAAAGACATTTAGAACAAGTTTATGTATTCAAAAATGAGCAGTTACCAATCTTGCATTGTTTTAGTGATGTAGGCTAAGAAACCGCTTTTCTTATGATCATATTTATAATTCTTTATTTCTCACTTATAATCAGAAGTTTACTCAATTATTTAATTTTACTTCTGATATCTAAAGTATTATATAAGCTATTACACTATTTTTTTTCATTTCTAAAGACTATTCCCATGCTCTTTACAGTAATCTTTTCTAGAACATTCAGATATTCAACTTATAAATAGATAGCCATTTAAACGAATTTTTAATTCATTCACAATTAATGACCTTTAATAATCTACATTTAGACATCATATCTATTTTAAATCACGACTTTTCTCACCCAAATTATGTATGTTGTTTTGTTTTAATTCATTAATACTATTGTTTATAGTTTGTAAGGTGTTGAAAAGAATTTGCTAAATAAATGAATTCATATTTATCTGACCATCATCAATATTCTTAATTTAACCAAAATATTATAAGATTGAAATACTAGTGAAATTAGGAATTTAACTTACTTTTAAGCATTGATAATGTGATATTATTTATTGGAAAATAGGATAGTATTAGGCAGAAATAATGAAAAACACAGGAATTTCTGTACTGTTTATTTATTTCTCAGGAGTTTAGTTCATTTTATAATAAGTTTCAATCGATTTTCAAGATTTCTGATAAACCCTAGTCTGTTTAGTGGTGTCTATTATAAATACAACGGTCACACAGTCTGGTATCCAATGTTTATAGTTTTTTTTAGTGATTATATGACTAAAAAGATCAAGCTCAAGTTTATATTCTTAGGATAGAAAGAATTTGAACAGACTTAAGAAATTTCTACACTATATATTATTTGTATAATCTTATAGTTGAACTATTTGATTTGGCATATCTCTGCACGCTAAACAGAATGGTATTTGGAATGTGAAAAGTTATTCCAATCAGTGATTTTGTGTTTTACACAGGAACATGTGAGTTAAAAAATCATGAATACTGTGGCGTCAATCAGAATATCTCAATGAGTTTACTGATTGTAACATAGTTCGGCATATTAATATCTTGTACTTAATGACACAGGATTGGTGACATATAGTAGGAATCCTCACTTAATTTACTACTGAAATGATCAAAGCATAAAGTGAATACATATTGATTAAGATGATTAAATTCTCCACCAAATGGTTTGATTTCATTTCTCAACGTTAAATATACGCGTCATGATGATAAATACCCATTTTTCCAAGTTTAATCATTTATGTTCTATACCTCTAGCGAAAACTTTTGATCATATATTAAATAAAATTAATAGTGAATGATATTGTCATACTTGTAAAAATTGTTTTGTTAGATATTTGTGCATAACATTGTATCGTTTCCCTTTGCTTTACGTGTTATATTATTACAGATATATCAGTTAAATGAAATTATGAGAAAATCAGAAATAGCCAATTACGAAGCTTTCATGAACTTAAACCATACAAATTGATTATGCTAATAGGAAAGGATGAATATATGCAGTATTAACACAGAATTTCCAATCTTATTTGTAATGAGTTGAGTAGTTTGTAAGGTAATCCAGATATTATTCAATCTCAATGAAACAGAAGTTCAGTTTCCTTAAACAGTTTAAAAACGCTTAGTAACTGCGTAGTGCATATGGCATAAAAATTAGCTCAAGTAATGTGGAATGTATATAGTTATATTCGGCAAGACGATATGATTGACCTGAAAAAGATTATTGATCCAGTTAACTGCTCCAGAAAAAGTACGCGTATAACCATGGTATTACATAAGCTAGGATCCTCAAGGTAAGTAGAACTTATGAACAACAAAATACGTAGGAAACTGAAAGCAAACAATATCTAACCATTGCTTCCTGACGTTTGAATACAGAAACCCAATGTCTTCCCAAATAATTCAATTAGTGATTAATTTATAGAATAACCTTCATTTCATATATTCAGTATTACACTATCGAATACCAATAAGTAGTGCCTGATTAAACTAAACCATTCATAGCGAATCAAGCCTTATCTACTGGTCTTTCTCAACACATGTCTTACTCAGCTTCTCCGAAAATCCTAAAAAGCACCAAGACAGCCCTACTGTGATTATTAATAGAGAATCTTTAGTCTTCATTACGAATTAAATTGCTAAGAAACCAACCACCAATTCCTACATACTAAACAATACTTGTAAATGAAACCAGTAACTACTAACAACCAACCGTAGTTTTCAGAATGAAAACTTTAAAGACCAATCGCCTATTCATTTATTGATAAGCTAAACGCTCAATATCGATTTTGAGGAATTTAGGGATGTTCATCGTTAAGTCCCTCATGGTACTCAACACATCATCATAAAAGCTCATTAACACTTCCCGGTAATATCCTGTTATTTCTTTTAAGTTACATCACATAGGTTCTCCTTCCCTACAGCACCGAAATTTATTTGCGATTACTATAAAGGTCTTCAGTGTGTCTACAACTAGACTTTTTTCCTCATCATACTATCCCAGCGAGAATGGGACTTCATGTGTCAGTGAGTATAAATGGATTTTTCAGAGGTCCATCAGCTCTTATTGACGTTTGGTAGCCGATTTTAGCAGTAAGTCGAGAACATCAAGGGCTAAACATAGTACTAGAGACACCCTCACTGAAACGAAGAGTCTAACTAGTCTTAGGCATCATTAGACTATATAAACACAGAAATTTGTTAGGTATATATTTAATAAGAAACAAGACCGTTGACAATGAACAACAGGAAGATTTCTCAGTGTGTTGATATAGAGGCAAAAGTAGACAATACTCCTATTCACAATTAACGTTTATCCTTTACAAAAACACGTGACTGTGAGTTTGAATTAAAGATTGTTACGGCTTTTTGCCTCGAGAATCGAAAGAAGTCAACAAGATTTTTTTTATGAGAATAGCTCATAGTGAGAGATAAATTAGATGAACATCGGCTAAAAGAATCACCACGAAAACGAAATAAACCATCCATTACAAATTAAATGTAACAGGACCTAGCAATTTGAAAACTCACTTGTGAAGTAGCACTTATTTTTAATCTTCCTTTATATTTCCGACGTTTGGCCGGTTTGTAAATATTTTTTTCTGGACTACGTTGGTCACCACTATTAATCCTCTTTTCTTGTCTGAGTAGTAACATAGGTGCCTTAACTAGTATAAATTCGTCATAAGTAGATCAATACGCTCTGATTCCTCCATTAAGAATTCTATACACCAAGAATCTTACAAAACCCAGTCTTACTTGCATTAACATAAATAAATGAATAGGATTTCTGTACTAATAAGAGAATGAAATACTCGAAATAAAAGAGCGATTTAGTTAGAAAGTTTTAATTTAAAAATTGTAAATGATTCAAGTATCAATCAAATATTATACGTAACGACAACTGAATTTAAGGAAAAAAATTATTTCTGGAGTAGGTAACTGAATAATACAGTTAAATAAAGCACATTCTGTTAGTTAAGAAAGGAAATGAGATAAAAACGAAGGATTGGTACATAATATGTAATATGGGAGTTCATTTCAAGAACAAGACAATAAGTTGTAACTAGATAAATGATAAGCAATACATCGAGGTAGACTATGAGATTGATTACAAGAAGATTTGATATCTTTTTGTTAAAAAGGGTATTTTAACATGTTAATGATTGCACAATAGACAACTTAACCCGTGAGTGAACTATATATTAGGGAGAAAACTTATGAGTATAAAATCGGAAAAATGGCCTGAGTTGTGGATGAGCTTCTTTGTGAAGAAATGAGGTTATATTATGGAAATCCGAGTATCACATATCACTGTAATTACAACGAAGTGGTCAAAATAATTATATCTCTTTGGAAACCTTCGAGAAGAGATGGGATGAGGTAGAAAAATCTTTCCAAACCACGGTAATTCTGTTTTTCCAGATTTCACTAAAAGAGGACAAACGATAGTGTAATGTTTCTTTATAAACATAAACAGGCTCTATACTCAAAAACAGATACAGGCGAACTAAAGATAGAAATTCTGAAACGAGTAAAAAACAGATGAATCAACAGTATACTTTATGCACTGAAATAAGCTTAATGAACACACAGAAATATATACTTTTGTGAGCACTATATATATATATATATATATATATATTAGTTTTGCCAACAAATAAGTAGGAATTAATGTATTTATAAGCAAATAGTCCTGGAGCATTTCACAGAAAGATGTAAGTTAAAAGTGATTCAATAGTCACTGGGTTAAAGCTAATCTTTTTAACAAGCAAACTAAAGCATTGAGTAGTATTATTGAATAGTGAACTCGTATTAATAGATTAATTTGAAATATATATGTTACATGTTTAGATTAAATGGTGACTGGAAGTTCTACTAATGACTACCGGTGCAACCATTAAATAGAAGGGAGTTAAGGACCACAAGATAAAAATCAGTGATTTTAGTTGAAAGGGTAAAACATCAACCAAGTAGTGTCCATTGTCTGGGAGCTAGTCTAATTTAAAAATTTAACACCGGTTTTAAATCCTAGTACTCGATTTTGTGTCATTGATATGAATCAACATGTACTATGATATTACTGTCTGAGTAACTACATTGATACAGGGCAACTAGTAAGTCACTTATGTTTAGCGTATAAACAAAATATTGTGTTAAGTGTTGTGTTATCAACTGGTTAGTTATGATTTAGATAATTAATTTATATCACTTGTTAGTGGATGAGTATGATAAAACAATGGACTTGAAATAATTGCCGCCCACTCAGATTAGATATCAACTAAGTAGAAACAGGTTCACGCATCTAGCTGACCAGAATCTATTTTAAGTGCTACTGAGAACACTCGACAAACCACTTTAGAGACAGTGTTGATTTCAGACCTAACCACAAAATACCGACGCCAAATGAGGAGAATTAGTATAACAATTCTTACTGTCTAAGGATGACTTGTGAGTGTGAAACCAGAAACAGCAGTTGAAATTCGTGGTGGAGGAGGAGGAGGAGGAGCACAATTTTGGTGATTTGACATATGAGACAGCCGATGTGAATTGAACAGTCGCGTTTCCTGCATGTTTGCATTCAACGGAGTACAGCTACTGCTGCTACTACTTTTCGAACTGAGCATAGAATCTCGTTTAACTGATTCCTGTGTTTGGTGTTGCTTGCTATCAGAATTATTAGTGGGAACATTCTGTCTTGGGTTTCCAAAAGAAGTTGAACTAGATCCTGTAGATGATGCTGCAAGCTCATTCTGTTGAGATAGATCATTACCATTAGAATAAAAAGGAGGTCTTAATCTAGACTGATTGCCTGCAACACCACCAGTAGCAGAGAGACTTTGTGCCAAATTAGAATTTGACTGGGAATGTTGCTGTTTTAGTGACCGTACATTTGGTAAAACTGAATCTTGTTGTCTAGAATGGCTGAATCCCTGAACCCCAATGTGGTTTGACGCGGATGTTTCTTTGGGGCGCGGTTTCGTATGTCCAGGAATTTCATGAGCGAAATGACCTGACTCACTACTTGTGCTAGATGTTGAACTGGAATAGCCTGAAAAAGTGGAATTTAGGAAACAAAAAACCATTAAAAAATTAAGTAACATCTAAACTAATGGTTACAGCCAAAAATCCTTAGAAATTTTGTGGACTGTAATTTAAATAATATATTTGGAAAACATAAGGCTTAATGAGTGTAGATACATGAAAATATGAAACGATGGAAAAGTCAAAAGAAATCAGTAATTTAATTTTAACAGATAAGTTTGAGGATAACATTCAATGTTGACTAACTGAGCCCGTGACTTTAAGTAGGAACGCTTACAGTCAAGTATTAAATACGATTCAAATTAACAAATATCATGAAAGGTTTTTGCAGAAAACTTACGCAGTTGATCATTAGTCGCTCATTAAACAGTTGAAATGAATATTTTGTAGATGAAGTCGAGTAAAAGATACTTATAATTTAAATACCCTTAAACAAGGAAATACTAAGTACCCTACACTAGAAATAAAACACGATGAAGGGAATAATTGCAAATGGTGTGAAACGTTACTCGGTAGTATTTCACCTTATTTGTAACAAAATTGTGTTAAAAACTGTTGAATAAACATAAAAACTATCGGAAAATTAGTTTGTTACGAGGAATAACAAAGCAATGAGCATCATGGTTATCTGCAAACACGATTTTGTCATGGATCTTCAAATAAATGATACAAATCAATGTTCATTGCAGTAAAGTTACCAATAATTACCAACTACGAAACAGTATGAACTTTATCATTAATGACTTTGATTCCTTGGATATGACTAGTGTTTGATAATTGGTTCAACTGAGATAAGTAATAAACTTCATATTATGTCCTCAAATCCCAGAATGTTGATGGACATAATTACTATTGATGACTAGGGACATTCATTCGCATAGCAGTAGACAGTTTTATAAAACTTGGTACATATTTGTCACTAACCTGAAATATTATCCCTATTTCCATTATTCAATCGAGGCCCACTGTGTGGCTGTTGGAGATTTGCGTTAGCAGCTATATTTTGACCGTCTGCGATCAACTGACGAATAGGAGCAGCAAGAGGCGGAGCAGGTGGATGATACATCGGTGGGACGGTGCTATACTGACTGCTATTCCCTTCTCTACTTGCTGCTCCGATTCCATGAGATCCAGCAAAACCCGGATTGTAATCAGGCATGCTAGCACCAGCCCTAACAGTTAAACTAGTACTTGTTGTATTGTGCCCCCAATTGGGATGAGAATGTGCACCAACTTCACTGACACTATCAACTTCTTCTAGGCTTAAGCAAGACATATCTGGAAAATATGAAGGTAAAAAATTATTAGCTGACAAAATTTACTGACTTCGGCAACAAGTCGAATAGGAAAGAGAAATATACAACTTAATATATCAGAATGAAACGCAACAAATCAAAAATAAGAAACGGGTATTCATACTGAAACAACTTGTTTAAATTGCTACGACTTTTCATCTTAGTGCCTCCAATAGGCTCAAAATTCTAATAAAGAAGATATATTGATTAATTTTATTCATGAAACAAGAAAAATATGCACCACAATATATTTCTGGCTATTGGCAGTGGGATTGAGACGTAGTGTAATGAAAATAGAATGTGAGGTAAAATTGATCTAAATAGCACACTAGGTTTAGTCAAATTATGTGTTAACTAAGAAAAGACATAAATACTCTAACCTCTGTAAAAAAAAAAAAAATCTCTCAAGAGAACGAATGGAAATATCCAACAGATTATGCGTATTAATTGCGTAATATGTTAACAAGAATGGTAAGTTCAAAAAAGACAAAAGTAAAGCAATAAAAGAGTAAGATAAATGCTTACGTTCACTTATATCCCGGAAGACATAGTAACATTGTTCCGAAAAAGTTAACTTATTTACAATATGCCGAATGTATCCCAATTTGAGCAGATTAGATGCATACTTTCGGGCTTCCCGGCGATCGGTCAAACCATCCAAGTGACGGAAAAGCCAATCAACTAGATCAGAACCTTGAGGGTGAAGTAAAAATCGTACGATGTGAAACTAATAAAAAGACAAACTGAAATATGTCAGTGAATGAAAACGTTAAAGTATGTACGCACAAAACTTCTTCAAAATGTTGTTTGTGGGAATGAACTAGGTTAGACGCGACAAATAACAAATAAATCTTAAAACCACGTTCATATGAAAACTATGACAAGGAAGAAGAAATGTCGCAGCAGATTATTTAATGCGTAAAAAGTGATGACACTGGCACATAACGTTGAATATAACAATTACGGTGACAGTCTATTTGCAGAATGATACATCACACATAATTGGTAGCTTTAATCATTAAACCTTTTGAACCATTCGTTTTCGAGTAGAGTTCAACTTAATTAACAGACGAAATTATTCTAATTAGTCAAACTAGTGAAAGCCTAGTGCCCCAAATGCGACAAATAATTGTTGTAAAAGACATCAATTAGGACCATTAAAGTGAGTCGCAAAAACTTATCGTTCCGCAGTTTATTCACTCGTATAATATTACTAACCGAGGATTTTGTTAAAGACGAAATAGGATAAGAAACGAAGCCAATAATACAAATACATGACTTTCTCCTTTTATAATTGTACCTTATAACTTACCAGAAAAACGAAGAAATACTCTTAAAAATTTAATGTAGAGATCTAGATCAGCGTAGAAACTTGAATTGATTTAACTTAGTACATATCTATATCTTTGGCTTTGAAACACATCTAATGTGCGAAGGTTGAGGAAGCTACATAAATTTCTAATCAGAAGTAGATTTTAAAGCTAAGACTCAATTGTTAAATGTCGACTGACTAAGTCTTTGAGTAAACCATACTGTCCCAGCTATTCGACCTCGAAAAATATTATGAAAACTATGGATAGTTATACACTCCACCACGAGCAAAAACAAAAAAATTTTATCAGATTTATTAAAGTGATAAAAAACTTTTCAACCGTACCACCTTAAATAAAATGCTCTCTGCCGATGGACACTGTTGTTGTCTCAACTTCAAGAAATTAAACTATCTATTAAAAGTTACCAAATAAATAACTACGAAATATGCTGTGACCCGTGTTATTTCAGCTGTATACAGAATAAGCAATTTGAAGCTGGTTACATGCACTAGACATATAGGCAAAGCAGGAGTAGAGCAGACTTTAAAAACGGTAATCCTAAAAAGGAATTGGCTGACGAATAAAAACTTATCCAAAAACTTACAACTAACCTATAAACGCGTTTGGTACGGTTAGCTTGAGCCACATACGATCCCTAATATCGAGACCAGAATCAGGTTGGAGCATTGCACGAATAACTGTGGGAATACTTGTCGATAGACCTAATGGAATGGGGTCTGAGTAACGTTCAATCTCCGGCAGCGAGCTGGATGCAGTAACAATGCTAGGAGCGACCTACGAGTATTAAATCATAAACAAATGAACAATCAATGATGTAAAGAGAATAAATAAAATTATCTACAAAATAGAAAGGATATTACATTTATACATGTGAATGAACGTATTGTCATGACCTTGTTTCATTTGAAAAGACTAAGGATGTATCCAAGAGAGAACTAGCTAGGCACTTAGTTGACCAAGTAGAGGTTTTCAACCTGAGATATCCTGGAACGGTTCGTAGTCCGCTTTAACAACAGTGACGTCTGTTAACAACCTGAAACAAGAGATTAAAACAACCAATAGATCTCTGAAGCCTAAAGTAAATTTATAGACTCATGGAAACCCGTACTGTATGTTCGGGGAGCAATAAAGCATTAAGACAACTTAAAAAGACTGACGAAAAGTCTACATAAGGGCCGAGAGCGATGCTGAGAAATGAAAGTGAAAAAAAGGTATGAAAGTCGGGGGGACTGGGAACGCTAGACACTTTGTTCAAACTCATCGAGTAGATTGGCACTAAAAACTTCAGCTGTTAGTGAATTAATTTCGAAAAAACATGGGACAGTGATATTGGAACAGTGGGTAGAACGCCTTAGAGAACAATTCGATTGGTCTCGAAATACTCTTCAATTACCTGCCACTTCACAAGTAATCTGAATAAGATAGATATATACGTACTAGCATCGATATTCTATCTCGTATTAATGATAATTATGTACTAGTGAAATCAACTAATTTTATAAAGTATTTTTTAATCATATCTATGGTGTGACAGCTAGGAATATGAACTAGAAAAGAGTTGAAAACAATAACCTAATAGTTAGAAATCGAGTATCTGAGACGCCACCTTATCCTTTTGAAATGAGAGCATTCAACTGAGTGAAATTTTAAATTCATTTTAAAATTATTGTGAAAAATAATCTTTTTTCCCGTGATCCGAAAATTTATGCTAATTAAGAATTTATTAACCATCGATTCGAATTTTGATGATTTACAGTAACTAGGCCGTCCCACGAAAAAATAACATTTAGCAGTGAGAAAAAAAACGAAATAACATCCTAGTTGATATCAACACTTTACCTGTTGAGTATGACCATGGGGAAGTAGTAAATTTGATGTAGGATAAAATGCGGGTTGTGATAAATGAATTCGTTGTTGAAGTAAATGTTGTTGCTGCTGATGTTCTTGTTCTTGTTGCTGTTTTTGTTTAGAGGCTGCAAGTAAAGCAGCCATATTGAACGCTGCTGCACTTGTACCTAGCGGCATTGAAGTTTGCCCTGATGTCAAAGTGCCCATACTCATACCAGGGGTAAGACAGGGGGACTAAGAGTAGAGCTAGACTCACCCCCTGACGAGGCACCAGTCATGGAAGTCCCATTAACTTGTCTATGTATATCATTACTTTGAACCTGTGAGTCTGGTGTGGTCATTGCGTTGGTATGTAACACCCAGGCACGCGGATCAATAGGATGTACAGGTTCTTGACGAGGTATTGTAAAATAACGTTCGGCTGGATTAGGATCCCAACATTTAGCAACAACTAATGTAATAGGTCTACGGAAAACAGTATTTAAAGTTACAAAAAAAAATTTTTACTACCGAGAAAAAAAGACAAAAACTCAATTCATTCAAAAGCAAAGTAGGTTTTAAAACCTCATAATTTATTATACTTGTGATAAGCTAGGAATTCGATTGTATTGACCACAAAGTTTAAAAATTCGTCATATAACGACTTAAACATATTGAGTATAAATCCACGGTTTACGGTCGAAGATACTATTCTGAAATATTTTCTACGTTTTGTTGTGAAATAAATCTAGTCTCGATGCCCGATCAGAATTATCTTTCAAAATTACCTTTAAAGTCGAACGGGTAAGATCAAAAATATGATAAATTAGAAACCCGTGAACTGCAGTGGTTCTAGCAATAAAGTGCTTTAACCCTGAACTCTGGGTTCAAAAGTAGTAAGTGCAGTTTCATTTTACAATCGATCTAACATTCTAGTTCTTCTTATTCGATGATCACTTCCAAATCTTCATAATTATTATCCAGTTACTATTAACATCCTATTTTTTTATTCTTCTCATCTGTCAAGTGTATTATTGCCTCACATGTCTGATCCGTAAACCATTCTCATCTTACTATATCTATTTAACCTTGAGAACATCAACCAATATTCTTGTGATACTTGAAATTTTCAAACATCTTATGATATAATCTCCTGATTTTCAATGGATTACTATATTTAACAAGTAACTATAAATATGAATGTATAGTTTCAATAAATGAAAAGACTTTATTCGTCGAATTGTCTTTATTCCTTCTTTAATGGCCCAAAGGATCTCTTCCATTATTTGTGTGACAGTAATGCACTAAATAACACTGGAAGGCACAGGTAGTATCAATGTCAACACAACATCATCCTAAAGAAGTAACAAATACCATTGGCAGATATGATTCGTGCAAGTAAAGCCTACGGAATCTTCGGATATATCGCTTAACGAACAGAACACATTACATAGAATTTTGAGGATATAACAGTTTCGTGTACAAAGAATATATGGCGTTTGGTGTAAACATAGTATACGTGTTCGATAAATAGTAAGACATGTTTGTCAAGTCAGAAGTGCTATCCCGTCATATCAAGAAGTGAGAGTTAGCACATAATTAACGTTCTGTAAAACATAACCCTATTATTTACTTAGGTAGTCAGTATTTATTTGCGTGATTTAAAGTTTGTTTTCGTTAGTTCTTGATGACAACTATGTTAAAACATATCCTTATGATGGATAGCATCCTAATTAGAATACCTTATACTTCCAGACGTACCTCAACCCTTCATGAATCTTAAAATAAAGAAACAAGCTTTTTGAATTTTATCTGAGAGAATTAGACAGTGATATTATAGAGCAACAACCGATACCTGTCCCAAGGACGAATAATTTGAGAATTTACATAATTATATGACAAATTTCATTTCTGCTCAACAATGGCATAAACAGTTCGGTTCTAAACACTGAATTTCATTGTTTAGGAAACCAAGTAATATTATGAACTTACCCAGGACGTTGAACTTGCTCTCGTAATGTGCGAACTGCATCGTCATTACTCATTTCTTCAAAACTAATCCCATTTGCTTCCAGAATCATATCCCCAGGTTCAATTCGTCCATCTTGAGCGACAGCACCACCCTTCATGATAGAACCTACATAAATCCCACCATCTCCAGATTTATTTGACTGACCAACTATACTGATACCCAAGAAATTGACGATATCCATGTTCAACGTAACTGCCACAATATTTAAAGACATGGTGGAGTCTGTAATACTGCTGAACGAAGAGGCCTATAAAAGATTGAACACAATAAAAGTTTAAGTCTTCTGAATAACTTGCAGATATTTCCAAAATCAAATAGCAGGAAGCTGAGAAAAACTATTATTCTCTGTTGCGACCATAAACTCAGATAACTAATTCAAAATAATTTACAAATAGGGGGACATTTAATATATTTCTAATGTGGAGGTGTAGTTGCATAACTTGTGCACTAACAAATAGGATAATAATATATTATTACCAATCAATTGAAATGGCACAGGGTTAACCATAGATTATTTCAGCGATATGACAACATCCATATTGTATCATGATGTCACTTAGCGTCTACATTTCAAACTTATCCATGTAATGTCGTTAGCAATGAGGACTAATCATTGAGTGATATCCCTAACGATGTTAAATTGTCAATTAAATCTACTTCAAATGTAGTGAGTGGCAGGTTAGTGGTTAAAGTATTCGATTTCTAGCCACATGTGCGTAGGTTTGAACCCCAAACCACTTCGATTTAGACAGCTGGGTAGAGCAAAAAGCTCACGTTACAAATTTGACTCAAAACGGAATGCAGTAAACCTGAACCTGATAGTCACATTAACAGTGAATGAAATGTGGAAAAATCCTAATTTTAAGATAATTGCAGAGTAATGAGTATGAAATTAAATGTACGAAATGAACAAAAAAAATATTGCACAGAATAAACGTACTCGGCTGATTGGTGGTGGACGCCTACGTCTTCGTCTGCGACGTGCACGACCATACCGACGGGAAGATAATGTTGTTCCAGTGACTGATGAAAATCTGGTTTACAAAATCAAAAAAGTTATTTATTAAACCTGAAGACAACAATATAAAGTTCTACGGGAACATATATTATCAATTTAGTCTATATCACTCAGATAAGCTTATCTAAATCTACTATCGATTTTTGAACTTCAATTAGTAACAAATACATCAACATAATTTAAACCTTACCATCCCTTAACTGGATCTTTAGATGAAGTCATTTGCAACCAGAAAATACAAACCTACGCGGAACGTAACTGACCTGCTAGATTCTTCTTCCGAGTCTAAGAAGCTAGTTGATTCTAAATCAGAACTCATCATTGAAGGAGCTTCATAGGTATTTGAACTAGGCAAATAACGATAGTGGCGATGGCGTGAACCACTATGGGTTGTCTGTTGAGTAATATGACTACCACCACTCGTTGTATGGTGATGTCGACCACCTAAAATCAAGCATAAATGTGAAATTCGCACGAAGTCAGGAAAATGAAAGAAAAGTAATATTTTTTTGCGAAATTACTGAACAAATAGCAAACAATGAAAGAGTCATGGAAGATTCATTTGATGAGCTATCACAGAACATGAATGAAGATAAATAAGCTTTTAAAGCAAAATTACGTACATGGTGAGATCATGTAAGTAAAACAATTTTAACCAACAAATTGTAGTTAATATCTTAGGAACATATCGCGTGCACAGTCATATTAAAGTTATACGACGATATTTCATGTATGCAAAGTAACAGAAAACTTAAAAAGCTGAAAAAGCACTTTCAATAGATACTACTATTGCAAGAGAATATATCCATAAATTATTATTAAATTATAGTGATAAGCTTTTTAAATCATACTGATTGTTTCTCATTTAAATCAAATTCCAAAAAATCAGATAATTTTTTTAAATACTCAGTAGTCAACACACATATGAGAAAAAAAGTATTGAATAAAAAAAGTATTCGTGAATTGAGTGGAAAATGTACACATGCCAACGTAAACATAAACTACAAAACAAGACCTGCAATTTAAGAAATACAAATACTGATACACATATTTTAATTTGAAGGTTCAGTCAACATTGAGATCAGTCACCTTAAGAGCTTTGATATCGTGACAGAAACTCTCAGCTGGCCTCATTATCAGGTATGTTTACAACACAGTAGACGTATTTAGTCTCTATTTCCGGAGGAGTCACATAAATATCTTACACCGTTTCTTAGTGAATTTTTTATACAGAAAATGAAAAACGTCGATGAGCATTTTAGTAGTGAAGTGGTATTATTATAGGGCATAAAAGTATATTTTTCAGTATGTCTATCAATAGTTCAGACACGGAACAATATAACTTATGAGACTTCTTATTTCTGCAACGATCATCATCAGCCAACATCTTAGGAGAAAGACTGACTTTATACTAGTTATACTTTCAAGACGAGCCTAGCAGTGCAAAACATTCCAAAACATTCTATAAACTAAACAGTAACAGAATAAAATTAACTTGTACCCAGATCTCTCCACCCTTGAATCCTATGCTAATTTGACAGCGGTCACCCGTGTATTAATCGTATGAAGTCTATTGAGTGGAGTTTTGCCCACTGACCTATCATGAATCAACAGATCGCAAAATTTGTTAACAGCTGCTTAGAGTGCCAGAAAGCAACAAAACTAGACAGTCGAGTATCGCCAGTCACATGATCACAAATTGAAGACCCATAGTCCAGAGTACATAGATTTAGAAGGCCTATCAATGACATCAAATATCTGCTTCTCGTGGGTCCCTAGTCAAGATGACCAGAAACTTTCCTATGCCGCCACAGTTCATCAACAAAGCTCTCATCGAGTATTGACAGAAAGTCTCCGAGGTAACAAATTGTCAGACACTATGGTATCAGATAAAGTTTCGCTACATATCAGAATAATTCGAAGACTTTTACCACCGTCATTCAATAAACTATGTGAGTTCGTCATTAGAATCATTCACAACCGTATGGACAAGCTGAACGTTTTGTTGATAATTTAAAGCGGGAACTTCTAAGGTCAAAAGTGGGAAACAAGGAGTAAAAGTCTATAAAACTTCGTATTTGTATACCAGAGTTGCGAACTATTAGCTTATTCCACAAACGTACCACTGTTAGATGGATTAAAGTTCCTAATAAATAAACCTAAATATTGACCTTTCTATTGAGTAGCAAATTCATTCAGAGATAACCCAAAACATTTAAACTTGAGTACAGTTACTCCAGGTCAACCTAACAACTTAAAACAAACAAGCAGTAATCCAATTTGCTTCATTTTTAACAGCACAAGATACACGTTAGTGGAGATGACTGAGAATGAAAACGTACGTTTAAAAGGGAGATTTTGCTTTTTCATGATAGTTGTTGAGCACATACATCAGTAAAAATACGTCATGTTGAATAAAAGAGAAGGAAATGATGAATAGCCGACTATAAAAGTGAAGTGATTCAGATATAAATCCATTTAACATAAAAGCTAAAAATGTTACATCGATCAACCTAAGAAATAGGAAAGATTAAGATTGTTCTAAATAGGCATCTCAACAAAATAATCAGTCCTACAATGTTAAATTATCAACTTATGAGTGAATAAGTAGAATCATTCGACAGACTTATTATAATGAGAACGAACAGAAAACCATTATTTTTACTACTAACATAATTTCATAAAACACAAATAAGATAAATATGGGAAACTTACTAGATTTATAATTGTGAAAATTCCGTAGAGGAGCAATGCGATCTATTATATTAATTGAACATAAATAAATAGATAGATAACAGAAAATGTGTATTCTGATTTTAATAATAAAAGTACTTATGAATCCTGTCATATAGGAAAGTGTGAGCAGAATAAACAAGCAGCCTCTGTCATCTGGACCACTACTGACTAAAAGTAAGATAATTCTGGGTAGATGCATGATGATAGTTTGATTTTCAGATAATGGGATGAATACCACCGAAAAGTGCATGTTCAAAAAGAAAAGTTAGTGAATACTAAACATTAGCACACGTCACTACGTGGTTTTGTTTGTCCTTACTGAGGCGTAGGTTTGAAGAAAGCTAGAGGCGGCCAGACCAAAACATGGCACAAGTCCATGAAGTCACTGACAAGTGGACTGAGTCATGTCGGTAGGTGTAGACTACCTGGTTGGGGACAGCGAGATGATAGCAACCGATGGTTAGAGACCTGAATGACATGGCTCAAAATCGTTTGCAATGGCGCATGTGCATCCACTCTTTGTGTTCTCCTAAATTCTAATCTCCTGAATCCTCCTTGTCTCTTTTTTTGTCTTTCCAAATTTACTTCACTGGATTATACTCTTTAAATAACATCTTCAAACCCTAATCCTTCCGATTACTGCTTATACTCTTACCGCATCTACCACTACGAGATTTGAATCGACAACTGCACCTCTGTGCTAATGTGGTGTGGCAACTCGGACTGATTTACGTACGTACGAAGTCCTACGTTGTTACTGACTGAATGATCACTTCCCGGCTGCCCACACCGTGGAAGGGTATTTCTTTAGAAACGTGAGAATGAAGGTGGATTAATGACTGACTGACTGAGGCGATCACGAAACTGATCGATTTTTGTTACTAGTAACGGTAACTGCAAGTGCTATTTATTTAACTCAATTTTCTGCAAGGCCTTTACCCTTTCCTGACTTGTCATCACTACTCTTAGTTCGTTGATTTTCTGGAACCTCGAACGCTACTAGACGATTCAGAGCTTATGGCGAACTGTCATCAGATTTCGCAACCTCAAGTGGTGTCCGACAAGGCTATCTACTACCCTCATCATCTGATTTCTCGGGAATTGACCTCTTACCAGAAGAGTACGCAAATGACATAGTGCTGTTTGGTGAAGACGCTGACAAAATGCAGTCTTTTGGTAGCACTGAGCAACAATACCAGGTTGTTTGGAATGTGTCTCTCGCTATCTAAATGCAAATTGTTTCTTCATGACGGGACGAAAAGTCAAAATTAGATTGATTTACTCATTATGATTTTTGTTAAACATTAATTCCGTTTTAATTCAATGTGACGACTGCTCAGTATAGTATTTGTTTTGTTTTCCCGTATGACATTTTATTCTGTATAACATACGATATTCTTGTATTAAGTTAACATGAACTATACTCAGCATATGATTTGTTATAACTAAGTGTTTTTCATATATGTGACTTTGACTTAAGTCGTGAGTGCTGTTAGAGGTACTCAAGACCACTACCAGTCCATGTCGTCCCATGATATCTTCATACCCGGTATTGTGCATTCCAATGTTTAGGTCACCCACCAGGATGGTCGGGTCCTTTCCAAAGCACTTTGCTATGATCGATTTCAGCCTCTCATAAAACTGGTCTTCGTCGTCTTCATTGTTATCATTAATGAGTGGATAACATTGGAGAACATTCATTGTGATTTGGAGGGAAGAACAAATAAACAGCTAACAACAACAGCCGAATAGGAAGAGAGAAAGTCAAGGCACATCCTGAATATACACAGAAGCAAACAAGTAAACGAAGAGAATAATTCGAGCTGACAAGCAGAGATACGTGGAAGACCTAACAGTCACAGCGGAAAAAACTGCAACAGAAGGAAATGTCAAACAACCATATGACGCAACGGAGGAACTCAAAGTTTATCCATCTTTAACAAATGACGTAACAGGTAGAAATTGACTGAAAAATAAAAACTAACCTTGGTTAGCACTATGTACAGATTCCGTTTCTGTATCGTAATTTTGTCCAATATTTCCTCCATGACCCAGGTTTGCAGAAGTAGAATCAGCTGGAGCAGCGGTCGTATGTGACTGAAGTACACAAGAGCTGATTTTGCATTCGTTGTTGCTTTCAAAAAAGTTGTAAAGTAGATTTTATTTATTATTTATTTATTTTAACACAGATATTGGTACAAGGAGGCACCAAATATATATGCGCCACGCAAATCTCATTTGATATGTGTGAGAGTTGTGATACTGCCTGGGTGCCCAAACCGGAGCAGGTGGTTTTCTTAGGGGGTCACACCCCGAGCCTTTGACCCAAAGGTCTGACCCACAAGGCAGTGGAGCATCGTAAGGAGATGCAGTCCCATAGTAACCGGTGACCAACAACAGGTTCATACGCCATTTGTTCCTTCAGGATACTGGAGCCCATATGCACCATTGGTTCGGAATCAGGGTTTTCCAACTCCCCTAGGTGGACTCTCCATGTCCACCAACCCGGTTAAAGCGCCGGACATTCGCTTTTCGTCCTCTCGATTTCATAAACAACCCCGCCACGAGAAGGCAGTGAATAGGACTTCCGTGGCAGAGGCTGTATACGCGTGGCCATGTGAGAGCATTTAGAGAGGGAGGATGGCCACTCCACACTCGGCCATACCAGGGCATTTGAGGGTAAAGCATATTTTATAAATAATTATTTATTGGTTTACATTAACTAGATTAGTTTTCAATGGACACTTTCGTGTGTTATTACAAATAACAGAAAGCTAGCAGATACTCCGAGAATCATAGTCGAAATGTGTCAATTCAAACTGAAAGTAAATGCAGTACGAACACCAGAAACACAATTCCCCATCCTAGCAACAAGTATTGCGGAAGAATTAGGATTTATGACAGAAGTGACATTTTAGCTCATGAATTATGCATGTAAATAGACAATTTCGGCACCAGTTTGTAATCTTTGGGTATAGGTATATGAAGATACTGTGACCGTGTACCTACCTATGGTAACACAAAATGAGAACACTATCGTTCATTATTTGTAGATCAATTCATTTATACTACCATAAATCCAGTGAAAATCTACATATCTTTCTTGGATATCCTGCACTTCCTATTCATTACACATTGACCGTGAAGAATGCAGATTTACGTGTTTGTTGATTTATGCTTCACAAATATTTGATATCCCAAGGATTCATAAGATACTTTTGACTTAAGTAGGTTTCCATATCAACACTCTCAAAACAGAATAAAGTTGACGGTCGAATTAAACTTGTTACAAAACTGAAGTCAAGTTAAAAGAAAAGCAAGTGAACATGTAGGCTGACAAACAGTGCAAAACCAAATAATTCTTGAGTCACAACTAAGTTAGAGATAAGAATACGTCGCTACACTATTCAAAACTTATGACCTAACTGAAATTATATATATATTAGCAAACTTACCGCGTATTATTTGACTCCAAATCAAGGTTAGGATCATATTTACTACTATTTGCACTAGCGTTTGCCTCAACAGAGGGGTTGAGAATACCTGGATCAGATGCTATACTTTCATCTGTAGTCACCAACTAAAATGGAGAGCAGAAAAACAAAGTCGAATTGAAACTAGCGACTCGGTGTATAAGACAAGCTATGACGCTAGTTATAACACCTTTAAAAGTAGCACAGTAAATTACAGATTTTGACACCATTATCATCGAAAATCATTTGATACTTATAAGAAACAGCATTACAAAATTTGATTGCTCCAAAAAATCAACGAATACTTCTCATAACAGTCAAAGGATAGGGAGTGAAGTAGTCGAACGCGTTGACAACTTCACTTATCTTGGAAGTCTGATCAGCCCTAATGGGTTGGCGTCTGACGAAATCTCACCACGGATTCGAAAAGCTCGTTTGGCTTTGCCACCTTACGTCACCTATGGCGAAGGCAAAATATCCGTCCATCAACAAAAGGACGAGTATACTGCGCGGCAGTCCGTTCTGTTTAACTTTACGGCAGCGAAACATGGCCCTTAAGAGTAGAAGACACCCGTAAGCTACTAGTATTTGACCACAGATGCCTTAGAAATATTGCTGGCCTCTGCTGGGATCATCGGGTAAGTAATAGTGAGGTCAGACGTAGGGTATTAGGGAATGATGGTAAATCAGTTGATGAGTTTGTTAATCTTTATCGACTGAGATGGTTGGGTCAAGTGTTACGTATGCCCGAACACCGATTACCAAGACGTGCAATGCTGACTAGTGTTGGAGATGGTTGGAAGAAGGTTAGGGGCAGCCAAACCAAAACGTGGCATCAGTCCGTAAAACCCCTAACTTCTAGTCTAAGCCGTGTTGGTAGATGCAGACTACTTGGCTGGGTACGCATGACTATCATCCCGACCGAAGCTGCTACCTTGACGCGGTGGTCGGGCTTGCCTATCGTGATGACTCAACCGAGCTATATTGGCTGGAACATATGTTCCTGTAGGTTCTACCATGCCAGGCAGGTCGATTGGAGAACGGTAAGACTAAAAGCAGCAACTCAAGGTCTGAGGGCGAAGTCGTACTGCTGACTGTAGAGGGGTGTGACAGCAGTAAGGTGTTTCCCTCGGACAACCAGCATCTGCAGCGATGCTGCCTTCCCACAAGGAGGGGTGGGGTTAGAAAAGGTCGACCCTAAAAATTTCACACCTCACCTTGCCCCACGGATTTCCGTCTCCGGCGGTAAGGGCCTTTGAAGAACGGAGCTAACACATTAAAAACCTCCCACGAAAAAGCCGTGCGCGACCTGCCTCAAGCAGTTGTCCCTTGGGCTCTGCGGTCACGCTCCCAGGTCGTTAAGACCAACACTAATCCAATTTCCTTTTCAGGTTCCTCAAGAAATACCCTTCCACGGTGTGGGCAGCCGGGAAGTGATATCAGCCCTCATACCCGTAACAGCGCACGAAACCAAGTTGGTCACATTCAAATCCTTCCTACACCTTTTAATACCTCTCTTATCTCCATGACTAACCCTTCTCACGTCTCTTTATCACCTCGCACCGCTAGGGCAAACGATTCGAGTACGCGGAACGCTATTCCTGGTCTCCTGAAACCACGCTCTAAACTACACGTAGGAGCTTTTAACGTACGAACACTGTGCCAAATAGGACAGCAGGCTTCCTTAGCTAAGACTTTAGAATCCCGCGCCATCAACGTGTGCTGCGTCTCCGAAACGCGCATACAGGATTCGAGTAGCGTCATTCACTTGACCTCACTATGCCAAAATAAAGAACCGACTCGATTTACGCTTCGTGTATCTGGAAGCCCAGATTCTGCTTCCCGTGGCCTCGCCGGCGTAGGTATAGCATTGAGTCCTAGGGCAGAACTAGCTCTCTTAGAGTGGATCCCAGTAGACAGTCGTTTGTGAGCTGTCCGACTGAACGGAACACTAAGGATCCGGAAAGATAGGGACACTCGTCGTTGCCTCTTCGTCGTCTCTGCCTATTCTCCCACTGACTGCAGCTCAGATGATGTAAAAGATGAGTTTTACAGAAAGCTCTCCGACCTTCTCCGAAAAGCTAGGCGCTCTGATGTAGTAATAGTGGCCGGTGACTTTAATGCTCGAGTAGGTAAACTAAGCGATAGGGAAAGACACCTAGGTGGATCTTATAGCATCGTGGCTCAAATAACAGATAATGCTGACCGTCTGTTGCACCTGTGCTCAGATAACCGCCTGTTCCTTGCAAATACTAACTTTAAGCATAAGCAAAAACATCTTTTAACATGATGACCCCCTAATTCGACCCAACGTTGGACCCAAATAGATCACATCGCTATCAGCCACCGATGGAGGGGCTCGATAGAAGACTGTCGCTCATTCTGTAGCACATGCTTAGATTCAGATCATGCTCTAGTACGAGCGCGTATCTGTCTGCGTCTTACTGGACGTAGGAAAGACGCTGCAAGTCAGTCAGTCAGTAACAACGTAGAACTTCGTACGTACGTACATCAGTTCGAGTTGCCATACCACATTAGCACAGAGATGCAGTGGTCGATTCAAATCCCGTAGTGCTAGATGTAGTAAGATTATAAGCTGTAATCAGAAAAATTAAGGTTTGAAGATGTTATTCAAGGACTATAATCCAGTGAAATAAATTTGGAAAGAGAAAAAAGAAAGGGACATGAAGAAATCAGATTAGAAATTTGGGAGAACACAAAGAGTGGATGCACATGCGCCATTGCAAACGATTTTGAGCCATGTCATTCAAGGTCTCTAACCATCGGTTGCTATCATCTCGCGGTCCCAAACCAGGTAGTCTACACCTACCAACATGACTCAGTCCACTTGTCAGTGACTTCATGGACTTGTGCCATGTTTTGGTCTGGCCGCCTCTAGCTTTCTTCCAACTTACTCCTATACCACTGAACATAGCACGTCCAGGCAGTCGGTCGTTGGGCATACGTAACACGTGTCCAAGCCATCTCAACTGATGAAGTTTCACTACGTCATCAATGGATTTGCCATCCTTACCTAGTACCCGTTCTTAACAACTGTGTTACTTACTCGATGGTCCCATGATATACGAGCAATATTTCGAAGACACCTATGATCGAATACTAGTAACCTACGAATATCCTCTATTCTTACCGGCCATATTTCACTGCCATAAAGTAGGACGGAACGAACTGCTGCACAGCAAACACGTCCTTCGGTTGATAGACGGATATCTCGCCTACGCCATAAATGACGCAAGTTGGTAAAAGCTAGTCGAGCCTTCTATATCCGTACTGAGATTTCGTCACACACCAGAACACAAGGGCTGATGAGACTTCCAAGATAAGTGAAGCGGTCGACACACTCAACTACTTCACTCCCTATCACTAGTTCGGGCTACGTCCAGTTCCCAAATTCTACCTAAGACCTCAGTTAATCTCACTGCTAATACTGAACCACCATCCTTAAAAATCTCAGGAGTAAACCTGTCAGGGCCTGCTGCTCTCCCTCGCTTCAGATTTCCTATGGCTTTTTCAACTTCGTAAAGGGACGGAGGACCTACATTAACTTGCCATTCAGGTTGACTAGAGATCGTGGGAAACCGAAGTGTGGCTGAAGGCCAGTTGAACTGATCCCTAAAGTGTTCTGCCCATCGATCCAATCTCCTGGATTGAGAATGAATAATATGTCCATCTTTCTCTGAGATTGTTTCGCTAACGGTCGGGTTCCTAATTCCGGTTTCCTTAACGAGTCTGAACAATTGTCTGCTATTACCTATTGCCGCTGCCTTTTCCATCTCTCTTGCTTTCGCTACCCACCACTGTTCGCGATCATTGCGTAGACTTCTTGTCAGCTTGCGCTTAAGCTGACTCCGCTCTTCATTATGTTCAGAGCCAGGTGGAATGAGTTTCCGAGCATCTATCAGTGCGATAGATGCTGCTGAGATCCAGTGTTGCTCCCTAACCTTACCTTACTAGCAGATATCACTGCTGTTTCCACAGCTTTTCGGATATCATTCCATGCTGCCTCGGGGTGGGCATCACATACATGGCTGCCTAACTGTTTTCCTAGTTGTTCCTGAAATATACTCTTAGCTTGACTATCATTAAGTAGGCCCTAAGAGGTTTCCTTGCAGCGTCTTTCCTACGTCCAGTAAGACGCAAGCAAATACGCGCTCGCACTAGAGCATGATCTGAATCTAGGCATGTGCTCCAGAATGAGCGACAGTCTTCTATCGAGCCCCTCCATCGGTGGCTGATAGCGATGTGATCTATTTGGGTCCAACGTTGGGACGAATTAGGGGGTCGCCATGTTAAAAGATGTTTTTCCTTATGCTTAAAGTTAGTATTTGCAAGGAACAGGCGGTTATCTGAGCATAGCTGCAACAGACGGTCGCCATTATCTGTTCTTTGAGCCACGACACCATAAGATCCACCTAGGTGTCTTTCCCTATCGCTTAGTTTACCTACTTGAGCATTAAAGTCACCGGCCACTATTACTACATCCGAGCGCCTAGCTTTTCGGAGAAGGTCCGAAAGCTTTCTGTAAAACTCATCTTTTACATCATCTGAGCTGCAGTCAGTGGGAGAATAGGCAGAGACGACGAAGAGGCAACGACGAGTGTCCCTATCTTTCCGGATTCTTACTGTTCCGTTCAGTCGGACAGCGCACAAACGACTGTCTACTGGGATCCACTCTAAGAGAGCTAGTTCTGCCCTAGGACTCAATGCTATACCTACGCCGGCGAGGCCACGGGAAGCAGAATCAGGGCTTCCAGATACACGAAGCGTAAATCGAGTCGGTTCTTTATTTTGGCATGGTGAGGTCAAATGAATGACGCTACTCGGATCCTGTATGCGCGTTTCGGAGACGCAGCACACATCGATGGCGCGAGATTCTAAAGTCTTAGCTAAGGAAGCCTGCTGTCCTATTTGGCAAAGTGTTCGTACGTTAAAAGCTCCTACGTGTAGTTTAGAGCGTGGTTTCAGGAGACCAGGAATGGCGTTCCACGTACTCGAATCGTTTGCCCTAGCGGTGCGAGGTGATAAAGAGACGTGAGGAGGGTTAGTCATGGAGATAAGAGAGGTATTAGGAGGTGTAGGAAGGATTTGAATGTGACCAACTTGGTCTCGTGTGCTGTTACGGGTATGAGGGCTGATATCACTTCCCGGCTGCCCACACCGTGGAAGGGTATTTCTTGAGGAACCTGAAAAGGAAATTGGATTAGTGTTGGTCTTGACGACCTGGGAGCGTGACCGCAGAGCCCAAGGGACAACTGCTTGAGGCCGGTCGCGCACGGCCTTTTTGTGGAAGGTTTTTAACGTGTTAGCTCCGTTCTTCAAAGGGCCTTACCGCCGGAGACGGAAATCCGTGAGGTAAGGTGAGGTGTGACATTTTTAGGGTCGACCTTTTCTAACCCCACCCCTCCTTGTGGGAAGGCAGCATCGCTGCTCATGCTGGTTGTCCGAGGGAAACACCTTACTGCTGTCACCCCCTCTACAGTCAGCAGTACGACTTCGCCCTCAGACCTTGAGTTGCTGCTTTTAGTCTTACCGTTCTCCAATCGACCTGCCTGGCATGGTAGAACCTACAGGAACATATGTTCCAGCCAATATAGCTCGGTTGAGTCATCACGATAGGCAAGCCCGACCACCGCGTCAAGGTAGCAGCTTCGGTCGTGTGCAGGTAAACCTCTTAGGAGTAGGTTGGAAGAAAGCAAGGGGCGGCCAGACCAAAACATGGCACAAGTTCATGAAGTCACTGACAAGTGGACTGAGTCATGTTGGTAGGTGTAGACTACCTGGTTTGGGACCGCGAGATGATAGCAACCGATGGTTAGAGACCTTGAATGACATGGCTCAAAATCGTTTGCAAATTTTGATCTCCTTATTCCTCCTTGTCTCTTTTTTTCTCTTCCCAAATTTACTTCACTGTATTATACTCTTTAATTAACATCTCCAAACACTAAGTTTCCTTATTACTGCTTATACTCTTATTACCTCTACCACTACGGGATTTGAATCGACCACTGCATCTCTGTGCTAATGTGGTGTGGCAACTCGAACTGATGTACGTACGTACGAAGTTCTACGTTGTTACTGACTGACTGCATGACTATCATAACCAATGGTTGGAGACTCTTGGTGGCATGGTTCAGAATCGATCACAATGGTGTAGGTGAATACACTCTCTGTCTTCCCTTAAACTATGAAATGAAAATCGCTTCATATCTTTCTTTCTACGAACTAATTCTTTCTTCTTGTATTATATCTTTATGTGCAATCTTTCTCTCAACTAACTACTTTTATGAATCCGGTGTTCATCTTGTGTTAATGAGGTATGGCAACTTGGACCGATGCATATAGGTGCCTGGTCCTATATTGTAGCTGACTGACTGGCTGAATTAAGGGACGAGTATATTGCGCGACAGTTCGTTCTGTTCTACTTCACGGCCGCGAAACGTGACCATTAAGAGTAGAAGATACTCGTAAGTTACTAGTATTTGACCACAGATGTTATTAGATATATCGCCAGCATCTGCTGGGATCACCGGGTAGTTAGTGAAGTTAGACGCAGGGTATTAGGGAATTACGACGGTCAACTAACAACTAATATCAAATGGAACCAAGGGTTGCATTACAAGTGTAGCATTCATGCTAGGTATGCTAACAATCTTATTAATGCACCTAGGAATGGAGTTCTGGATATATGAAAAATAAGGTAATTGTGTCTAGCACAATAAATACATAAGTTTTCACTAATGTAGCGTCAGAGCACTTTTACCAAATAAAAGCAAGTACAGATAGTCTGAATGTCTTACTACTTGTATCAAGTGTATAAGCTTATAGCCCACATCTTTACTGTGTTCATCCACCACAAAATTTTGACAGAGGAGCGGAGAACGACATGATGGAGTGGATCAAACCACATAAAATGGTAACTGAGGTAAATTTGGAAGTTAAATATGCTACGAAAACTCAAGCTATAAAACTTGGTTTGAGATTCAACACATATCACGCTTAGATAAATCCTTTTAATAACCGCTTTCCTCCTTATTCCTAACTAACAGTGAGGTATAAGGTTGTCCAGTCAGAATACTTCCCTAACTTTGTCATGAGATATATTAACATCGGGGAAATAAGTTAGTACTGTATATCCGAAACCTTATCAATGAAATAAGAATTAATAAATATGATGCGTATACATACCCAAGAAACGACACGGCCATTGAAACAAGGGAGTGGAGCGTTATCTTCGAATATTTCCTCCTTAACAACCCTAAGAATTACAAGAAAATTAGGGGTTAAGAGGAATCACATAAAGCAGCAAGAAAGCGTGACTAACTGCTTCAAAAGACAAACATATAGCTTAGACGAGTACTTACTCGTTGCTACGCTTCACATAAGCGATGGGAGAAAATCAATAGGGGGATAGTGTTGATGACGAAAACCAAACAAGGAATATGGTACGGAATGATCAAGTGAAATAAGACACAAGATATTTCTGGGAGAGTCTTATGGCGCGGAAAATGTGTTTACCTCTCCCGATCAGAACGCATTATTGTAGTATGCTATTAAAAAGCGCAGAGATATCTTACTGAAAGAGTTCTTTCGAATGTGGTCGTACTAGACATTCTGAAGAGCTGTAAACGGTTAAACCAAGTATTAGTTCCAACACGTTTGTTTTCCCTTGTGACAGACATGCTTCAAAGCTAATACTTTTTTTCGCCTATACATTTCAAGGAATGAACACTCATTTAGAATGCTTTATTGACATGGGGAACATATACGAGCCTTGAGTGACGATACTAGATATACGGAGTGAAAATGTGTTCTCTATTACACTGATTCTCAACATACTGACAGGCATTTCAGATCGGTGGCTGAGATTTGATTTGGATATAAAGCAACCGCTTTCTATTAGTGTAGAGCAATTAATTTCTAAGATAAATAGGTATCCTAAACATGCGACCACATACTTGGATATTAAAGACTAACACATTGCTGGGAGTTTAGTCATATTAAATAACGACCTGGGAAAACAGTAGTCTATCCATTGCCATCAGACCTAACAAATCCTCGTCTAAGACAAAAATCCAAAGGAACCACTTAACCTACCCAAACGTCGTTCCAACGTTATTTAAAGAATGAGTGGAAGAGCTGGTTCTTTTAGACTTGTGTTTCACGCAACAAAATAAAAGGATCTCACATAAACCAATGAGTGGTTAAGTGAACTGTCGACCTCATGCTGACTGCTGCCCATATACAAAGACAGGTATCAACAGGTCCCTGAGTATGCAGCATATATCTCAATGATGAAAAGTAGTTTCCTTCCGCTAATTATCCTATAAACGGCCGTAATAAATAGGTTGCAGAAAATTCATACACATTTGCAATGCCTTTTTATATTCGATAATCAACAAAAATATAGCAAAAATACCCGGTCGTAAATCTTCAGTGGCAATCAAGATACGACAATAATGAAAACGCATCGAACATGTTCAAGGAATTACTAACCCGAAATCATCGTCCAGTGATTTAAAAAAAAATTTTGAATGCGGTCTGTTTAGAGCGTTCTTGAAATCGCCAAGAGTTACTTTTTCTGGAGCAATGTTGAGTTTAACAAGGTAAGGAGTTTCTTCTTCATCGATGTAATATATGAACTTAGTCTCCCCAACCGAAGTGCCGTTGGCCATCGGGAAGAAAATCCGAAGAAGGCCGCCTTGAAAGTACTTTGAGTGAGTTGGTCCAATCTTCAATACTTTGGAAGATTTAGATGACAGTAAAAGGTGAATATTTCAGTTATTTGTTTTCAAAAATCTTGGTTCCTTAAGTGCTACAACAGTGATCTATTCGTGCTAAATAAAAAGCTTACAAGTTGAAGGCGCGCAATATACGTAAATGTTAAACAGGTATTCGGGGTTTGACAACGCCTTTACACGTTACACATTTATAATCAACGTATGCCAACCCAGTCAAATCAGAATTCAGAAGTGGAGGTTTTCGAAGATACATTTGGAAAGTCATCTATGTATAGAGAAGCGTTTGGTTTAAGCTGGCCTGTTAGTTGCAAGGGATGCGTAGCCCATTCGTGATCTAGTGAATATGCGCGACCGAGAGCCTTCAGCTAGATGTGTACAGTAAAATTTATGGGGTCAGAATGAGATATCGGAGAGTTGCAGAGCTATCTATTTTGGCGATTTATTTACCGCTACATCCTGTTAACCATCCGTTTTCAGTGTTCATTAAGTGTTCCATTAGATCCAGAATCACTTCCAACCACATAAGGCGGGGTATATAGGCAAACAGAAAACTCTTTCATACACACTTGTTGAACACTGTGGCCTAAGATCATCATATAATGTGACGAAAGTGGTTTTCAAATGGAAATTGTAAAGGCATGTCTGAATAATGCACCGATCTGTAATAACTAAATGTTGGTCATTAAAATTGACGAAGCATAAGGTTTGTAAGATGATTTCTGTCCCGTTAACAACTCTATAGGTGTTGGAGTTAGTTTACTCTTCATCTCTTTGATTAATCCAGTAGATCAAGGAGTTAGCTTAAATATTTTCCGTTTTTCTACAAAACTATCCGTTAAAGTTTGCACAGCCAGGTGCCAGTAGTCGTATAAATTTATTGAGTCGGGAAAAACGCCTAGTTGTATTGAAGAGTTCGTAACGATATACTGTTTAATTTTCCTATCCCTCTTATTTTACTGACTGTCTACAAAATTAAAGGCTTCTGTCGTTTTACCATTGTAGCGGTAAATAAATCCCCAAAATAATTAGCTCTGTAAATCTTCGTTTATAGCATCAGATCATGACTTGCTTGTCGCCAAGATGAAATTGAAACTCAAAAAGTGCTGCACAGCGGGGCGGGCAATATCAAAAAAGTTCAATACGGCCTTTCTTCAGGATACTGACAACTCAACAAATTCAAGATAGTCCTCAGCAATAAGTTCCAGGCCTTTCATTATCTACTCAATGAAGAAGGAACTACTATGGAGAGCAACTGGAGGAGATCAAAGAGGCAATCATTTCAACATGTCATGAGGTTCTGGGCCACAAGAAGCACCATCACAAGGAATGGATCACTGTTGATACACTAGATAAGATTCAAGAAAGGAGGAACAAGAAGGCAGCAATCAATACCAGCCGAACAAGAGCAGAAAAAGCCAAGGCACAAACAAGTGAAGAAGAGCATCAGAACCGACGAACGTAAATATGTGGAAGATTTAGCAACGACGGCGGAAAAGGCTGCAAGAGAAGGAAACATGAGACAACTGTATGACACGACAAAGAAACTCTCTGGAAATCGCCGCAAACCAGAACGACCAGTGAAAAGCAAGGAAGGCGAGGTAATCACCAACATCGAGGAACAACGAAACAGGTGGATAGAACACTTCAAAGAACTCTTGAACCGACCAGCCCCACTGAACCCATCCAACATCGAAGCAGCACCCACGGACCTCCCAATCGATGTTGGCCCACCAACAATTGAAGAAATCATCATGGCCATCAGACAAATCAAGAGTGGAAAAGCAGCAGGACCGGACAACATTGCAGCAGAGGCACTAAAAGCAGACGTAGCGGCAACTGCAAGGATACTCCACATTCTCTTCAATAAGATTTGGGATGAGGAACAAGTACCAAAGACTGGAAAGAAGGACTTCTGATCAAAATACCGAAGAAAGGCGATCTCAGCAAGTGTGATAACTACAGGGGCATCACTCTTCTCTCAATATTAGGAAAAGCCTTCAACAGGGTATTGTTAAACAGAATGAGGGACTCCGTAGACGCCAAACTTCGAGACCAACAGGCAGGATTCTGTAAGGAAAGATCGTGTACAGACCAAATCGCAACTCTGCAGATCATTGTGGAACAATCAATTGAATGGAATTCATCACTCTACATCAACTTCGTTGACTACAAAGAGGAATTTGATAGCGTGGACAGAACAACACTATGGAAACTTCTTCGACACTACGGCGTGCCTCAGAAGATAGTCAATATCATACAGAATTCATATGATGGATTAAACTGCAAAATCGTGCATGGAGGACAGTTGACAAAGTCATTAGAAGTGAAGACCGGTGTTAGGCAAGGTTGCTTACTCTCATCCTTTCTCTTTCTCCTGGTGATCGACTGGATCATGATTATGTCAACATCTGAAGGGAAGCACGGGATACAATGGACACCTAGGATGCAGTTGGACGATCTAGACTTCGCAGATGATCTGACACTCCTATCCCAAACGCAACAACAAGTGCAGGAGAAGACGACCAGTGTGGCAGCAGCCTCAGCAGCAGTAGGTCTCAATATACACAAAGGGAAATGCAAGATTCTTCGATACAACACAGAATGCACCAATCCAATCACAATTGACGGAGAAGATTTGGAAGATGTAAAAACCTTTACATATTTGGGCAGTATCATTGATGAACAGGGTGGATCTGATGCAGATGTGAAGGCGCGGATCAGCTAAGCAAGAGCAGCATATTTATAACTGAAGAACATCTGGAACTCAAAGCAACTGCCAACCAACACCAAGGTCAAAATTTTCATTACAAATGTCAAGACAGTTCTACTGTATGGGGCAAAAACCTGGAGATCTATGAATGCCATCATCCAGAAGATACAGGTGTTTATTAACAGTTGTCTACACAAAATACCTCAGATCCGTTGACCGAACACTATCAGCAACAACGTACTGTGGGAGAGAACAAACCAGATCCCAGCGGAGGATGAAACCAGGAAGAAGCGTTGAAAGTGGATAGGACACACACTGAGGAAAGCATCCAACTGCGTCACAAGACAAGCCCTCACATGGAATCCTCAAGGCCAGAAGGAGGAGAGGAATATCAGAGAACACATTACGCCGGGAAATCGAGATAGACATGAGAAAAATGAACAGGAATAGGATGGAACTAGAAAAGAAGGCCCAGGACAGAGTGGGTTGGAGGATGCTGGTCGGCGGCCTATGCTCCATTAGGAGTAACAGACGTAAGTAAGTCTTCGTCATTGGATTCTGACCACCAGATCACGAGTGAGAACGCCGTGTTCAACAACCCCTGCAATCACTAGCCAGATTAGATAAGACGATCCTCGATATATTGATAACCTATCAAATATACCTTCGAACCTTCTCGCTTCAGTCTTTTGATTTCACTCGGTGGGTACGCTTCATATTAGAAGGTGTTACTGGTTAAAGCGTTGTCAAACTCCAAATGCCTGTGGCATTTTCACCATGATGCTCTGTGGTGTTTGTATGAAGTAATGATTCCCTTGTACTTCATGACTGATTTATTTCGAATCTCAAATACAATACGTTCGTCCGTGTTCATTTAATACTTCTTCGTTAAATCTTGTCATTTCAGGGATTCTTATTTTGCACTATAATTCAAATACTCCTAATTATCACATTGGCATAACAATTGAGCCTGTGATGGAATGGTTGGACATAAATTCAGATTTTGATGCTTTTGAGGATTATATGGAAGGTTCAAAATCTGGACTATGACCAAAGGAGATATTGAAGATGTTAATCTTGCGGCTCATTTCCTCACATTTATCGGAAAAAAACCGTACAGTTCATACATACAATTGATTGAGGAGTTGCGAAGTAGATCACAAAGATGGGCACAAATCTGATCGATGTTTGTCCTGTGTTAATTTTCACTCACTTAATTCATGTGTATTTCGTAATTCTAAATGCTTAAAGTGTAGTCAGATTGGATGCATTCAGTCAATTTGTAATATTACTGTTCATTTCGCCCCAACTATTACTAAACTTTGTAATCCTACTCCTATTAGGTTGAATGATTCTGATGATCATTTATCTTTATCCACGACTTTAAAAATTGATATAAAGTCACATAGCAGTCCGGAATTAAATAAAACTCAGGATCATTGTGAGGCGAAATTTTCGAATCAAACAATTTCTTATCGGATTTCTCATGTTATTGTACTAGATGATGGTTTGGCCTAATAATTCACATATTTTTGATGGAATTTCCCACAGATCTGAGGAAAATATGTTAAGTGAATAAGATCATGATCAAGAACCTGATGCAGTTTCGATGAATGCTGATTTTTCTAATGATTCATTATTCTCCAATGACATTCTTAATAAATTTGAAGAAAATATTTCGGAATTGAATTCTGATGTCATATCGAATGTCATTTGTCCTGACAGTAGATTAACCTCTAGCGATATCCTCAACAAATGTAACATGTGTTCTGAGTTAGTCGAATTCTAGTCACATTTCTGATGTCATTGCATCGGATGTTAGGTATTCTCATAACCAATGTATGTTGAGTAGAATCTATAGTTAGTGGTATGATGAATCAGAGGAAATAGCAAGTTCTAAAGTATTCAGAGAACCAGTTTCTCCAGATATGAAGTTTGCGCAGGCAGAAAATCCAAATCGAGTACAAGATTGTCGTAATGAATATGAGGCAGATGTATATTTTCTACTTGATTTCTTTGCAAGTGAACCGAGCCTAGATGAATCACATGTGTTAATTACACATATCAATCCATATTTATCTGTGTATTCTAATATGAAAAGCAAGAGGATTATGTATCTTATTTTTTATGCAAGTTGAATTTATATGATGAAAGGCCTCAAGTTATATGTCAATTTGTATCCCCAAACACTCACATATAATAATCATAGCGTGAGATATGAGAA